CAGTCTCATCATGGGGAATAACTTCCACCAGCTGCCCAGCCACTCAACCAGGCCTGGCCAAGTTGACACACAAACACAATCACCACACATGCCCAAAGTATAAGAAATGAAATTTGGCCATGCTGTCCTCTAAGGAGCATTTTGGCTGTACTCCTTCCAGAACAGATTTGCTTGTTCTTCTGGTAGTGCATATACATGTATTCAATATTATTTGCCAACACAACATTCAAATACATCAAATGATACTGTAGATGGACACCTATAAATTCTCATTTCAAAATTGGCACGAATACAGACTGTACAATATGCAGAACACTGATATCCCCAAAAGATTCTTACAGGGATTATAAAAAGTGTACTTTTGTAATGTACAGAAAATTAAGTAGATCTATGGAACCAACAGAAATTCATAAATTATAACTCATTTGTTTCAACTTGTTTCCTTTTTGAAGAAAGTTACTATACACACACACATACACACACATATATGAATTTGCCCAAACAATATATATAAAGGACAGCTGAAATTGAATAGGACAACTGGGAAGGTTTTTTTTTTTTTTTTTTTTTTAATGATATTCTACGGAAAAGAGAGAAAACATTGGCTAAACACACAGATAATTATGTAAATTTTATAATTACTGGCTGAAGAATAATAGTTAATGAAGTCAGTGTCACCCGGAAAGAAGATTCAGGAAACATTTTCCTCAGTCAAGTCTGTATAAGTAGGACATCTCTCAATGACATATTGGACAGAAATTCACTGAAACAGTGAACATTTGCCAAAACTACTGTGGTCTTTTCTCTGCCACAAGACCTCACTATCATAAACACAGACTACTAGAAAAGAGAAGGGTGACTGATGCAAAGATGGCCCCATCTGGTTGTCCATGAATGGCCAAACCAATGAGATCTTTTTTCCTAGGCAGCCAGTCAATTTGCTCATACTAATTGTGTTCTTCTCCAGCATCATTTCCCAGTGCTCTGTTCCTCCAACTTGACCATACATACTCTAGACATTAGGACATAAAGTTACTTACAGCTATCCCCCAACCTGAGAAGTTTTATGCTACTGGCTATGCCTATTGTCCCACCGTGTTAATTTATCTTGTCAATCTATTAATAATAACGCATAAAATATATTTGTACTCTGCTCATGACTTCACAATTTGTTGACATAAAAAATGTATTATAGACTGCTTCTAAGGTTGCATTGCAACAAATTAGTAAACTTGCATTGTGGACAAAAAAAAATAATCTACTTTCTGAAAAACAGACAGGTAAAAGCTCTTCTCCAAGTTTACTTTCCCATGATTAAGCAAGAGGCACATGTTTATGAATCACAATATTATGTCTGCAAGAAAAATAAAGACTGATAACAAACTTACCCACACTTGGATAACCAGGTGTAGTAGGGTCTCCTCCTGGATTCAGTGACACCATGAAGCTATCGTCGCTGAGATGCTCAGTCTTTGGTAAATCACAAGGGTCAATATATAGAAGAACACCTCCAAATCCAGCTTTTTCCAATAAGGACAGCTAAAAGAAGAAATGAATTATACATACATACAAAGATTATGTATGTTATTATATATCGATCAAAGTTCACATAATACACAAAGTTCACATATGACCTTTTCAGGAATGTGGCTAAGATAGGATGGCTCACTTTTCTGAATTTTTATTTTAAAATAAGCAAACACTTCATACATCCCAATTACCAAGCCAATTTAGAGGATTTTTTTCCTGGCCTCTTCTCTTTTTCCTCTACCTAAACATTATAGAAAGGAGCTCTGGTAGCATAGTGCCTTAAGGCACTTGACTGCTAACCAGAAGGCTGGTGGTTCAAACCCACCAGCCATTCCTTGGAAGGAAAGTTGGGCAATCTACTTCTGTAGTTATACCACCTCAGAAACCCAAGGAGTGGTCGCTATGAGTCGGGTCCAACTTTATGGCACATGACAACAACAAACATTATAGAAAGGAGCTCTGGTGGGGCTGGGGTTAAAGCTTTCAGCTGCTAACCAAAAGTTGGGCAGTTTGAACCCACCCGCCATTCTGTGGGAAAAAGATGGGACAATCTGCCTGCTTAAAGATTCACAGCTATGGAAACACTCTATCCTATAAGGTTGCTATGAGTCAGAATCTGTGTGATGGCTGTAGGTTAGGTTTGCTCTGGTATACAGCACACAAGCCACATAAGAATGTTATCTACAGTTGATTTCAGTTCTCTTGAAATATTTTCATGCTGTCTGGCTGTTAGCACTGCCCTAAACAAAAAGTCAGGAAGACAGAGAGAAGAGCAGTCACCCGAAGGGATTAGGTGAGGAGAGGCAACTCAGGCCCGCCCAGAGTAGCAGGCCGGAAGAGCAGGAGAAAGGGGATAAAAAGCCAGGAACCTGGACAGAGGAGCAGTCAGCCCCAGGGACAACTCAGGGACACACAAAACAGCAGG